GATTGGAAAGGAGATGAAAAGAAAATTGGCAGAGAGTAGTGAAGGGGAAAGGGGAGAGAGAGAGGAGAGAGAACTGTAAGGAACGGGAGAGGGGAGAGAGATAGAGGGTGGAAGTGTACCTTAATGCCAAATCAGTGTTGTTCGCAGCGGCCAATAACGACAAGCAAGTCCGAAAGTTTTACGTGCGAGGTCCCTTGAAGTAAGAGCCGGATTTTGGCACCATCTGATAGGTAGAGAGCTGGCGGGAGCGAGCGGGTGGATGGAGGAAGGCACCGAGGCACAGATGGAATTCTCAGCAGGATACAGCTTTATTTCGCACGGGACACATTTCCCTCAGGGAAGGGAAAAATGTCCGCGAAGGGAAAGATGTCAGCGAAGGGAAGGGAAGGGAAGGGAAAGATGTCAGGGAAAGATGTCCGCGAAGGGAAAGATGTCCACCCACGGGTTGTGAGCTGGGACTTTATATATGGGGGCTTTAGGGTGTGGAAGGGGGAATGTTTGGGGGAGAAATCAGGGAGGGGGAAGCAGGTAGGATTAGGGTGTGGAAGTGTTTACTTTTTCCCTCTTAAGATGAGAGTAAAACAGCTTCTAAAATCTCTGGTTAACAGGTAGAATCTGCTTATCTTAACTTTGGAGATCAGAGGAGAGGCAGGCTGCTTCTCAGCAGAGTTTGTTTCCCTTGACTCCAAAGGTCAAGGTGAGGTCCCTGTTGGGGAGGGAGGAAATTGCTGCTATTTGGAACCCTAACAGTCAGGCTTTCTCCTAAGGTCTGGATCCCTCCAGGAAAGACCTTGGCCTCAGGAATTTGGGGGTTGGACTGGCCTGGGAGTCAGGCCCAGGAAAGATGCTAGTCTAGGGCAGCTAGTGGCCATGCCACCCAGAGATGCAAAGGAAGGTGGGGGCAGGAAGTGCAGGAAGCATCCCCAAGGGCCCCTGAGGACTGCACTGAGGACCTGGGTTGGTCTGGATGCAAAGGACCAGGAAGAGGAAAGGTCAGCCATGGCGTCCAGGAAAGAGGCTGGCAGGTTGTATAGACCCAGGGAAGCAGAGGGAGGTGAGGGCGGGGCTAGGCCCAGAAGCAGTGCTCCTGGGGACCAGAGAAGGAACTGAGTTGCTCTTGCTGCAAAGGATCAGGAAGAAGTGGTGGTTCCCCCAGGTATCTGGGGCGCAAAGACAAGGAATGGCACAGAACCCAGGCTAGGAGAAGGGACCTTCGGGGGAGATGGGAGGGTGAATGAGGCTGGGGGATTCAAGGCATGGAGTGCAGGATTGACTTACCCCAGAGAGAGAGGCCTGTATGTTGGAGAGAGCCCTGTGGGTCATGCAGGCCCAGGGAAGCAGAGGGAGGTGAGTGCGGGACCAGGCCCAGGGTGCTCCTGGGGCCCCCAGAAGGAACTGAGTTGCTCTGGGTGCAGAGGATCAGGAAGCAGTGATGGTTCCCCAGGTGTCTGGCGCACCTAGACAAGAAATGGGACAGCACCCAGGCTAGGAGGAGAGACCGACTGTGGAGATGGGAGGGTGAACGAGGCTGGGGGAGTCAAGGCTTGGAGGGCACGATCGACTTACCCAGGAGAGAGCAGAGCGGGCTGTGGGTCGGCGAGAGGTCTGCGGGTCTGCACATAAATTTTTAAAAAGTCTTTTAAAAAGAAAAATCACAAAGCAAAAAACAAAAGGTTACTTCAAAATTGCATTTAAATATTTGTGAGTGCTAATTGGTTTGTATAACTGCTCACCATTGAAAATAGAAATGGAATTTTTAAAGATTTTTTTATGTGTATGTGTGAGTGCCAACATGCTTGCAGTGTCCATGGAGGTTCAAAGAGGTCTTTGTTTCCCCTGGAACTGGAGTTACAGGTTTTGTGAGTCAACATGTAGAGGCCATGAATTGAACCCAGGTCCTCTGCAGTACTGTTAACCATGGAGTGCTCTCTCCAGCCCCGTTTTGGATGTTTTTTTAAGTCAAGCTGAAAAACAGATCTTTTATGAATTAAACTATTATATGAAAATGTATTTGTATAGCCATTAGGTATGTCTATTGAAGCTAGTTTACTAATAATTCATTATTTATGTCCAAATAAATATGAGGTTTAATACACTATAAATTAAAGTGTTCAAAATTACAAAGGTTGGTAAAAGTCCTATAGTGGAAATGAGAAAAAAATAGAGATTTTTAGCAAGCGACTGGCTAGGATTTCAAGAGAAAATTGAAATGATCCATAGTCATTTAAAGAAATGTGGTAAAAATATATTTCTCCATTAATGTGTTAAGCACTAAATTATTATTATTATCGATAAGTATTAGAATAGCTCTAATAAAAAAGTCCTTGACACCCGGCATGGAGGTGCATACCTTAATACCAGCACTCAGGAGGCAGAGGCAGGTTGTTGTCTGAGTTCGAGGCCAACCTTGTCTACATAGCAAGTTTCAGGCTATCCAAGGCTATAAAGTAAGACCCAGTCTCAAAAAATAACAACAAAAATAAATCCTTGAAATCTTGTTAGAGAAGAGAAAAGAATCCTCCCCACCCCTGTACTGGGCTCACAGTAGGCAATTTGGGAATGACCCCTGACTGATGGGTTGGTTGATTGTTTTTATTTCTGTGCAGGTTATGGGCCAATTGATGAGACTCTTATGGAAAAGACAATAGAAGTTCTGGAACACCACTGCCATGAAAATATGAACCATGCTATTGAGACAGAGGAAGGGCTAGGCATAGAATATGATGAAGATGTGATTTGTGATGTATGCCGGTCTCCAGACAGTGAAGAAGGGAATGATATGGTATTCTGTGACAAGTGTAACGTCTGTGTGCATCAGGTTAGTGAGAGTGAAGACCACCCTCTCATACATGGTCATCCATATTTGTGTGTGCGTGTGCGTGTGTGTGTGTGTGTGTGTGTGTGTGTGTGTGTGTGTGTGTGTACATGCACTCCTGTGGAAGGAGACTTTTGGGAGTCAGTTCTCTCCTTCCACCTTGGGGGTTTAGGGAATTGAACTCAGGTCATGAGCACCCTTACCTAGTGAACCATCTCATTGGCCTGAAGGTCAGCTTTTTTGAAGTTCAGTGATTATTATTTGCAGCACCCATATCTGGGTAATGGCTTACATGTGAGGGTGAAAATAAAAATTAGTCTCAGAGTTGGACTACCCTCACCACTTGCAAGGGAGTGGTATGGGGATTCTCCTCAACAATATGCAGCTCCTACCACCCTACGAGGGACCAGGATAGTCTATAGCCCAGAATTCATGATGAAGTGTCAGAATTCATCTACGACCAAAACATCCCCAAAGGACCTGCCAGCCATTCCTGGGGTCACCATCCCTGCCATGGCTGAGCCTCCCATTCAAGCCATTTCAGAAGCACCTGCAGAGCAGCCTGTAGATAAGCAGGCAGGCAATGAGGAGTCACAATTTAAGATGGACATTTAAGGGACCAGCCATAGGATGGAATGATGCTTCTGGGCCTCTAAGGCCCTTTTTGTGAGCAAAGTTACAGCAACCAGGCCTTGTGCTAGTCAGGTATCAGGTATGGGGTCAGCTATCAGGTATGGGGTCAGCCATCCAGGCTTACTCCTCACTCAGGGCACTTGTTCCACCCTCTTCTTTGTGAATACCAATACATACCTCCTTTTGCCTCCATTGATACTGAGCTGCTACTCCAAGGGAAATGACTCTCTTACACACACCTTTTATCAAGTGCCAGGAAATAGACAACAGAGGAGCCCTTTAGAATCATAGTCTGGTGATTCCCACCCCAACCTCTGGAGCACACCCACCCTCTCCTTAGGTTAGAATTCTGGGAAAACTGCCCTTCATTTCTTTCCACAAGAGTAAATAATAGCCACCTTTCCCCTAGGCTGGCTGAATTCTTTTCAACTCTTAAAAAAAAAAAACAGGCTTGGATGGTCTTCAGTTCTTCCTCTAGAAACACTACTTCTTATTATCTCTAAGATGCCTTACCTAATAACTTTACCCGGAGAGTCTAAATCTAGGTCTTCATTGTGTCACTTCATGTCCATACCATTGGGATTGCCTCATATGAGTCTCCCAGAGAGTCCCTATGTTTCTTGCTTGGGAGACTCCTCCGCCTTGGAGATAATCCTCTGCCTTGGAATCACACCATCAAGTTACACCCATGATCAATAGCATTGATGAGTTTATACTTCCTACAATTAGAAGGCACGATTCCTTATTTTGATACCCAAGGCCTTCCCTATATACTGTTCCCAGGAACCTACGTATACCTTACAACCACATAATTTTGGGACTCTGAAGGACTATCTTGGCTTTTTCAATTCACACACAGTGCCGGGAGAGTTTAAGTGACTTTACCCATGCTAGTTATTTAACATTTTTACTGTCACATAGCATAGTCCTATTGATGATGATGATGATGTTGATAGCAACATTCATTTCAACTCTTTCCCCCTACCCCAACCTCTGTGCTCTGTTGAAACAAGGTTGCTTGAGGTATAGTGATGAATATTGCTAACACTATCCTGTCTCCATTTTGTTGCCATGTCTCAATCTAAAAATCTCTTCTAGGGACTAGATAAATTGGTCAGTTGATAAAGTGCTTACTGTCCAAACATGAGGACCTGAGTTAATCCCCAAACCCTATGTAAAAAACCAGGTGGTGATGCACACCTGTGATCCCAGCTCTTGGGAGGCAAAGACAGGAGAATCCCTCGTGTCTGCTGACCAGCTAATCTAGCCTAATCAACAAACTCTAGGCCTATTGAGAGACCCTGATTGAAAAAAAAAATGTGGAGAGCAATTGAGGAAGACACCTCTGACCTCTACACACATGTATACACACACACACACACACACACACACACACAATCTCATTTCCTATCTCGTGTTATCAAAGTGTACTTATCTTCCAAGCTATAATTCAGATTATTTCTTCACTTCCAATACCTTATTCTAGCTGAATTTTTATTCTGAATCTGTTGTGTTTCACCCATATTATTAATTTATCTGACAAACAATGTAAGCACACCAAGCACCATCCATGAGCTAGGAGTGTGCCACATGCTCAGGACACATAAAGTGCTTACTGTGATGCGGTGATGAAGAAGCATATATGCTCTCTGCCCCTAGGAAGACTGTAGTGCAGAGAAAAATGACTGCAGAGAAACTACCAGTTTACCATAGTGGTCAAGTGTATATAGATTATAAATCCATGCTTTTGTAGAAATGCATGGGAAAGATGAAGGTCAAGAACAACTTCCCAATAAGTGACACCCATGCTGAATCTTAATGACTAAAAGGAGACTAAAACAGAAAGGTATGTTCAGTCAGAGAGGAGAATATATTCATAGCAGATAGGAAGAGTGATCCAAATATCTTGGAGATAATCTGTGAGTACATTAGAACTTCAGAATAGAGGAGTAGAATAGAAAAAGCCAGGAGGCTGAGGGTAGAGGAGAAAAGGGACCTTCTGACAAACTAATGAACTTCTACTTTGTCCCATCAAAATGATATGATTTGTATATCACAAAGATCATTTTGGCCAAAATTATTAGAATGATTAGCCTAGATAACATAGGAAACAGAAAGTAGCCAGAACTAAGACTTCTCTAAGTCACCAAAACTTAACTCTGTATTACTCAAAAATTTTTGTCATCAAAAATTTTAGTATTGTTTTTTAGTCTTTTTCTTCATTTACTTGTGTCTTTAAAATAGTGAATTTGGAAAATTTATCTTCATTCCACCAATTATTGGCATTTCTGTCATATTTTCAATGGAAACAAAATCTTTATGGTGTAATTCTGAATTTAAGTGTCTGATGATAAAGATCGAAAGGTCCTCCCCCACAGTCCCAAAATTGGAAATCTTTGAAGATTTCACTTTTTCTGAATAATGGGATATGATCCGAGAGAACTTTTGGGCTGCTCAGTTTATGAGTTTTGTCATGCCTTGGACTCTGATCATCTTACCAAAACTACAGTGCACTGTGGCTGAGAATTCTTGGTATTATATATGACAGTTTCTTGAGTTTCAGTCCAGACATATCCATCTCTTATGGCAAGCATCCTGTAGTGTAATGTGATGAATTGTTCTTTAGTAAATATATCATGGTGAATTTTGGTAAGATGATCAGGGTCCAAGGCATCCCAATGGATGATAATTTCTGGTTACATTCATTTGATCAGTTGTTTCTATCAGAAAGCAGTTCTTCAAGCCTTCCAGGTGTGAGCAGAGTTACAGTGTTCCAGCAGACTCAGACTACAAGAACTTATCGTTACTACCACTACCACCACCAGTGATGAATTAAAAGCAGTAGTGAAATAAAATATAGAAGACATTAAAATACTGACTGTATCTCTCTCTTCTGCCCATGTAACTAAAAAAACTACCACTGCTACACCATCTCTACCACATAGTGGTACTAAGAGTCAGGCAGCCTCATCAGAGTAAGACAAGGAATCATAGAACACAGAAAATTTTTGTCCAAGAAGCCCTAACATGAGATCTGTCATTTTGAGTCAAAGAAATACTGTTCCTGAAGAAGAATTGAAGAACTTTGTAGACTACTCAGAGAAAGTGAAAAATGGAATGTGATGGTTTCCTTTTTTAAACAGCAGGAATTGGAACATTATTACACCAACTAGATGACTGTGCACCTACTATATCACTTCCATGGAAATGTGTAAAAGGATGCATATCTAGTGAACAGAATAGAATAGAGCAAAAGATAATCATTTTAATACCTTCTGATTTAGCATATAGACTGCTGGATCAATCAATGGATGAGAGTAAATTACCACAGCTGCATTTATTTTTTATGTGTATGAGTGTATTGCCTGCATGTGTGTAAGTGCATCCTTATTGTGGAGTGTGCGCAGAGGTCAAAGGAGGGTATCAGATCTCCTGGAACTGGAGTTATAGATGGTTATTAGATGCCGTGTGGGTGCTGGTAATTGAATCTGGGTCCTCTGGAAGAGCAGTTAGTGCTCTTAACCTTGCTGAGCCATCTCTCCACTTCTGTATCTAACTTTAGAAGCCTGGCTACAGTGCTATACAAACTCAGTTCAGTTTTGATCTCCTTTCTACTTAATGTTCTTTTTAAATTATATTCTTTTAATGCCAGATCACAGCACATTTTCACAGTTCTTTGATATTTTCACCACTGCATTGTGGTAGCATCATTTAAAATATACCTTTTAAAAATTTATTTATCTATTTTTGGTGAGGGAGTTTGTTCCTTATTGAATTGTTTTTAATGGTATTAAGGAATTATATTCAGGAGCTGGAGAGATGGTTCAGCGGTTAAGAGCACTGGCTGCTTTTACGGAGGACCCGGGTTCAATTCCCAGCACCACACAAATGGTGACTAACAACCATCCATAACTCCAGTTCCAGGGGATCTGATGCCTTCTTCTGACCTCTGTGGGCATTGTAAAACACAGGTGCACTTTAAACACACATGCAGGCAATACACTCATACACCTAAAATAAAAATAATAAATAAAATTTTTTAAAAAAGAAATTATTTTCACTACCAAAATAAATGTAGCATAATAATTCTCTCCAAGAGGATAGCATTTGTTTTAAAAATATACCAAATAATAACTATAAATGATACCCTCCTTCACATGAAAAGAGATAGCAATAACAATTGACTAGGCCTTGTATTTGCTACCATATAAAGATTCATATGAAAGCAATTCTTTCAAGCTGAGCATGGCAGTGCATTGAGTTATGTGGGCTACATAATAGCAAGATCCAGACCAATCTGAGCTATGTATCAAGGCCGTGTCCCCAAAAAGGAAGAATATGAATAAAATATTGAGATTCTTCCAAAGTGGGTGCATTCACCTGGATCATAAAGAGCTACTAAGGTTAGAGCTCCCTCTGTTGACTTAAAAGTGACTTTTTTAAATTTGGAAGATTGGACATTTTGGGATAAAAACTTGGCTCACTAGACCCTAATGTATATAACAACGCATATAACAGAATACATAAAATCTGGTGGGGGGGTTATAAGAGGCATGCAGATAAGAGAGGAGGGTCTAAATGTGATCAAAATATATTGTATGAATTTTGAAAAAAAATTCAATAAAAATTATTTTTTAAAATTTGGGAGATTGATTTACTCCCTAACAGAATAGTGACATTAACATCTGAATTTATTAAACATATTTTATCATCTTCACTCCCCTACCATATGGTGTTTAGTATTTCTTTTCTTTTCTTTTTTTTTTTCAGTCTTTTTGAGACAGGGTCTCCCTGTAGCCCCAGCTGTCCTGGAACTTACTGGTCTTTTGTGAGACAGAGTCTCCCTGTAGCTACAGCTGGACTGAAACTTGCTATGTAGACCAGGCTAGCATAGAACTCAGGGAGATCTGCCTGCCTTCTGAGTGCTAGGATTAAAGGCTTATGCCACTATACCCAGCTCCTCAGTATTTCTTCTTTAGTGACAATACATTCATAGTGCTTTAGAAGGGAGGTTTGTATCAGTAATGACTTTATATTTTAAAATATAACTTAAAATTTTTTCTTTAAAAATTTATGAAAGTTACAGAAGATGGGACTGTCCTGTCCTAGGGATGCAGGACTCCTACCCACCGAGATTGCTGATGCGCAAGAAAAAGAAAGCTGAGATCATTCTAATACTCTTTATGTATGCTTGTCTTCTACTTCTTAGCCCACTTAAGTTAAGATTTGAGTTAATTTGCCTAATGAGACATGTAGAACTGGGAAAGTGCTTAGCCAGACATATGCATGTGAGAACTAGGTTATGGAGATAACTAAGAGGCCTGTCTGTGCAAGTAAGGTGCCCTTTGTTTGAGTATAATGAAAGATGAAAGCAGAGAGGTATGAGGAAGTGCAGGCTTTAGGTCAAAGGACAGCAAACTTTTTCTTTAAAGGGTCAGAAATACTTTAAACTTTGCCAGCCATATGTAGTCTCTGTCGCAAGTTTTTCGTTTTATTTTTATAACCTTTTAAAAATGTGGAGAACCGTTCTTGGCTTGTTAGCTTTACAAAACAGGTCTTGAGCAATAGTCAACATGTATTTTAGATTGGTGGCGGGCGGACGGGGGCAAATGAGATAAGAGCAGAGGAAGAAGAGAATTTAGAAGTAAATCCATCCAAGCAGTGTGTGACAAGAACTTGGATGGAGCAGTAGTGGTGAGGATGGGGATGGAGAGGAAGTACAGTCTCTGGGCCACAGTATAGTGCAAGCAACAGGGCCAGTGATTGAAGGTAAGTAGGTAATAAAAGTCCAGGAATTGGCCTGGAAGATGGGAAGGAAGTATGCAAGGGTATGAAAAAGAAGAGATTGGGAATGGATGCTGGTAACTCATACATGAATATGACCTGAGGGTGAATTTCTTGGGGGGTCACAGAATTTTTGGAACTGCTATGTTGAATCACTTGATGGCATCAAGTGTACTTGGCCACATTGAGACCATAGGGATACCTTGGTTTCATCTGAAATAGTGAGAGTAAAGCAGTAAGGAAGAAAAATGAGCAAAATTAGAGATAGAAAAGTCTAGAGTGCTTTCCATCTCCCCACGTTATTCACTTATTTTCTAATTTCATTCCATAACAAATTGAAAAAGCTTCTGGAACTAATTCTGGATTATTGTGATTCAATTCTCGGGACCCCTTTTTCTTCAACCTAAGTAAATTTCTATGATTTGTTAAATAATTTTTATGCATCAGGCACTATTAGACTCTTTATAAATACTAGCTTATTTGCACCTCAGAACTTTCACTATTTCCCAACCCCTTTTTTTTCTTGATCACAACAGTTCATGAAATGTAGAAGTTGTTCCATTAGTGTTTGGCTAACCAATTATAATGCATAAATATTGAAAGAGGTTTGGGAAACAGACAAAAAAGAAAAACAGTAATTTCAACTCTCAGTTAACACTTCGGCTATCCTCTGTCCACCTAATCTTGGTCTTTCATCCTTAAAGTCATTTCTCATAGATAGACATATTAATCCAGGTCAGATGTTGCAAGTTGGTTTTTCTAGTATTTAAAAATTACTAAATTCTGGATATGAGCTTATTCAACTATATTTGCCTTTTTCCCCCGAAGCAGAGGATGCTTTGTAACTGTGTCAGGACAGATGTTGATACTGATACAGAGATACTAATCATTCTTCCCTTTCTTCATGCCTCCAGGCTTGCTATGGCATCCTCAAGATTCCAGAAGGCAGCTGGCTCTGTCGTTCCTGTGTCCTGGGCATTCATCCACAGTGTCTGTTATGTCCAAAGAAAGGCGGAGCTATGAAGACCACCAGAACAGGGACTAAATGGGCTCATGTCAGCTGTGCCCTGTGGATTCCAGAAGTAAGAAACCACCCACATCTGGGGCCGTTTACTTCAGGGTGTCCTCCTTATCATGATTTTTAGGCTGACTCAGACTCATCATAGAGATGCTTCCTGCTCCCCTATATTTCTAAGATAATGATACTTCCACTTGTGCTATCTCAGGTCCTTCTTGGATGCAAATGTGCATGTCAGCCCATGCTGATGGGTTTGTGAGCGGTACTCTCAGTGATACTTGATAAATTTGTAAGAGAGAAGAAGCATAAAAAAAACAGCATCTGGAAGCTGGAGAGGTGACTCAGAAGTTAAGAGCACTTAAGTTCTTGCAGATGACCTAAGTTTGGTTCTCAGCACCCATGTCAGGTGGATCACAACTGCCTTTAACTCCAGCTCCAGGGGGACCAATGCCTCTGACCTCCACGGACACCTGCATTCAGGTGCACATTAACACACACACACACACACAATTTTAAAAAAATAAATCTTAAAAATTATTTTTTTAAAAAGATCAGAGTATGAACAACAATTTTTTAAAGTAAAGTTTACCTTAGAATTAGAATACCTGTAGCCACTTCTCAAACCAAGACATGGGATACCACAGAAGTATACATATAGCACCCTATAGGACTCCCTCATATCCCTTCCTTTTCCCTATTTCCTGAGAGTAACAACCATTTTGATTTCTGTCACTGTAGATAAGTTTTGTCTGTTTTTAAACTTCATGTAAATGGAATTCATACAGTAAGTACTCTTTTCTGTCTGGCTAGCACTCCATGTTATGGTATGTATCAGTACTTCATTGCTTTCTGTTGTTTGGTAGTTTCCCATTATATGGATATACTGTGATTTATTTATCCATTCTGCTTTGGGTCTCCTTTGGATTCTTTCCAATTTTAGGTTATTACAAATAAAATGAGCAATAATTCTTTTAACCACTGTGATAGTTTTTGAGAGAGAATCTCAGTATGTAACACTGACTGGCCTGGAACTCACTATGTAGACCAAGCTGGCCTCCAACTTAGAGTGATCTGCCTGCCTCAGTCTCCTGAGTGCTGAGATTAAAGGCATGTGCCACCATGCTTATCAGTCCTTTACTTTTCAAGTTCTTTTCAGAGCTTAGACTCAGCATTGGCCTAAGACCAATTGTTCAAAACTATTCCTCATTATTTAACCTGATCCTTCAGTTGCTGGCGTTTCCAGAGAAGCTATTTTTTTTTCATTAACTTAATTAAAACAGGGCTTCTAAACTGAGCATGGTAGTACATGCCCATAATGGAGAGCTGGAAGCCAGCCTGGGCTACATAGCAAGTTCAAGAATGGCATAAGCTATATAGTGAGACCTTGTCTCAAACACAAAATAAAAATTAAGGGCTAGGAAATGGAGCGCAGAGGTAGTGCACTTGCCTAGCCATGTGTAAGACCTGGGTTTGATTCCAGCACCATACGCATAAAAATAAAACATATCACCTAGAATCCCAACACTCAGAAGGCTGAAATAAAAGGATCATGAGTCCAAGGTACCCTGGGCTACATGGACCCTGTCTCAAAAATAAACAAAAACTAAAATGAACTTTTACAGCTCTCAACATTCTCTTAGGGCTTCTAGTTCCTGATTTCTAGTACCTTTTAGACTATTCAAGATGTCTGTTTCCTGGGTAGAACTTACCCTAGACAAATTAGCTTTGTTTGATAGTTCTTTGCTCTTAAAAAGTTATTTCTTTCTTGAAAGGCATGTATGTAATTGTAAAAAAGAAAAAGAAAACACTTTTTACTAGCAGTTACATGACCCCTTGTTTTCATATGGAAAATAATTTTTCCATTTTTTTAAAGTATCCCTTTCCTTTCAGCATTCCTAAAGACTAATTTCACTTTGAAGCTACTTTGGCTGAGAGAGTAGGGTAAGCTGATGGTAGTTATGTAGTTTTACAGATTTGGGTTTAGAAATGGTATCATCCTCATTCTTTCTAATTACATGCTACAGTCTCTTCATCACATAAATTTGCTACTACTTTTCGACAGTACTATGCTGCTATGTGAATCAAAAGTAAAGACTTGTCACTGCCTATTTTTATCCTTAGCCGATTAAATGAAATGCCAAGGCATGTGACACCATCTCTAATATATGATGGATGCTAGAATTTCTGAACTTTATTTCCTTTCTCTAGTAGCTTTCTTTGATTCCTGAGTAAAGATAGATATATCTTGATTCTTGAGGGTAACCATGCTAGTCTACACTCCTCCCCTCTCATAATATATATGAATTGTTTACATTACTAGAAATGATTGAATATTGAGCAATGGAAAAAGATATGTTTTGTTTATTCTTAGTTTCATACTAACCTTGGAAGATATGGCTTTACCTCATTGTTTTGATGTTCTGAGCTTCATATAACATCATTTAGAGATTTTGAAAATTGCTTCTGAGATGCCTCAATGCTTCTGCCTTATGGTGGTATTTTATTTATAGGTCAGCATTGCTTGTCCTGAGAGGATGGAACCCATCACAAAAATCTCCCATATCCCGCCCAGCAGGTGGGCCTTGGTTTGCACCCTGTGCAAGTTGAAGACAGGGGCTTGTATTCAGGTAAGTGCCCTGAGAAGTGGTGGAGTGAGATAAAACCAAATTGCCTGACTCACACTCCCAGTGAGAATGTCTTGTTAACTGAAAAATCACTCATGAGGCTTCCCACTCACTTGGAGGGTGCTGCTGCTATATACTGACCATTTGTGAAAAATCTCTTTTTAAGATGTTGCCTCTGGACCATTCAACCTATTCCTTTTAGTATTCATTGTGGTTGCCCTGTGCGGCGGTATATGCCGTAGGCCCAGTTACTCAATAACTGAGGCAGGAGAATCACTTCATCTCAAGAGTTCAAGGCCAGCCTGGGCAACATAGTGAGACCCTCCCCATCTCAAATACTTATAGTAGTATTTAACCTCCATCTTTTGCTCATGAGCTAACTCAGCTCTGAAGCTAAATTCTCTCATTCTGAGTCAGAAAAAATTATGACTCTAAAATATATAGCCCATGTTCTTATGTGTCTCATCCATTAACTATAAATAAATTTTAGATCCAGGATGGCTTTGTAACCATTTGGTTATGGAAAGGTTTATTTGAGAAGATAAAGTCTGGTGATTAGCTTTGAAAGCTATTCTCATAGGTATCTGTTGCATATGGTTGTTCAGGTAAAGTTTTCTGACATATCTGAGGCACAGGAATTAAGCTAAAGTAGAAGTAATTGCTCATATATTACCTCAGAGCAGCATTTGGGAAGACACCCAGAGAGATGACTAGAAAAGGCCAGTTACCTGCAGCAAAGCACAAAAATTGACTTTATAATCTCATTTTCCATAATGTCATTTCATTTTCTGTTCCAAATATAATGAGGTAGCCCTGCTGGCAAGAGGGAAGGATGGATTGACCTTCCATTTCCCAGACTTCCTGCCTGTGAACTACAGAATGGTTGAAATTACCTTTGCCTGCTTACCTTCACAGAAAAGGGTCTCTATAATATCACAACTTAGGGCAGTGGCTCTAGATATACCAGGAAGTTCCTTACTGCTTAGCATAACATGTTGCAGGCTCATCGTCTGATAGAATTGAATGTTTCCCTTGCTTTTGAAAAACTTATTTTGGCTGATTTAATTTGTCTTAACTACAACACTTTAGCATTTATAAAGGAAAAATATCCCCGTTTTGCTTATCAAAGTTCTCTTCTATTTGCTGTCTGTATGTGAGCCCTTTAAAGGCCAAGATTTTATACTGTTCATCTGTCAATTTCCCCACTGTTATTATTCATTTAGTGTATAGTACATAACTACATCTAAGTTTTATTATATCAAATTAATTTATGAACATATATATATATATGCATACACACATACTTTTTTTGTCTTTTTGAGACAGGGACTCCCTGTAGCCCCAGCTGTCCTGGAACTCACTATGTAGACCAGGCTGGCCTCGAACTCACAAAGATCCTCCTGCCTCTGCCTTATTTTTCATGTTTATTATTTAATCATTTTTTTAAAAATAGGCATAGATATCTATCCAGTAACTTGCCTGTTGTCATCATTATGGCACCTACATTTTCCCACTATTTCTGCTATCAAGAGTTTTTTTAATGTTTTATTTATTATTTTTATTTTATGTGTATGCGTGTATTGCCTGCATGTAGGTAAGTGCACCCGTGTCGTGCAATGCCCATGGAGAACAGAAGAAGCTTATGGATCCCCTAGAACTGGAGTTTCAGACAGTTGTTAACTGCCATGTGGGTGCTGGGATTCAAACCTGGGTCTTCTGCAAGAACAACCAGTGTTCTTAACCGCTGAGCTATCTCTTCAGCCCCTATCAAGAATTTTTTAAAATATTTATTATTTTTATTTTATGTGTATGAGCGTATTATTTGCATGTAGATAGGTATACCCATGTCATGGATGCACATGGACGTCAGAAGAGGGCATCAGGTCCTCTGGAACTGGAGTTCCAGACAGTTGTTAGCCACCATGTGGGTGCTGGGAATCGAACCTGGGTCCTCTGCAAAAGCAGCTCTTAACCACACTGAGACATCTCTCTAACCCCACTGTTGAGAATTTTTAAATGTTTAAAATTTGTGTGTGTGTGTGTGTGTGTGTGTGTGTGTGTGAGAGAGAGAGAGTGAGTTTATGTGCATGCATGTGCCTGCAGAGGCCAGAAAATGTTGGATTCCCTGAAACTGGAGTTACAAATGTTTGTGAGCCACATGGTATAGTGTTGGGAACCAAACTCAGGTCCTTTACAAAAGCAATTAAGTGCTCTTAACCATAAGCCTTCTCTCAGCCCAAAGAGTGTTTTTATACTGGTTAGTAATTAGTAACATAACTGGTAGGTGAAAGCATTGGCTTTGACCTTAACAGACCTGAGTTTGAATTACAGCTTTACACTGTCGTATTCTGTCTTCTGTGATATTCATTGATTAGTTTTATCTTTCCTAGTTTCATTATTAGATCCCCCACACCCTGACATAGCAGATGGACAATAAATATTAGATTGATGGATGGATGATGGATCAACAGATGAATAAATGGAACATTCTAGAGGAAGTTTCTTATCTGCAGGGCAGTGGTTCTTATTTTTATTACTTAGAGTTCAGATTCTTCAGTTTATATAGTGCTTACTAAATTGACACTATTTAAGCCTTTTTCGTTTTTTGTGGTGATAAAGATGGATCCTAGGCCCTCGTGTGTACTAGCAAATGCTATACCACTGAACTACATCCCCATCCCAAATTTTTGAGTATGAGGAGTTAAATTTATTTCGACAAATACTTATGCTTGCTTATATACTAGGTTTTGTATCTGGCAATGAAGCAACAAAGAACTTTGCACCATGGAACTTAGGTTTTAGTTTTGAAAAGTAGGCAATAAGCAATTGATGTTAAATAGCATGTTAGAAGGTGTTAAGTGCTATGGAAAAGAAAAATGTAGAGAATAGCAAGAAGATAGAAAGTATGGGACAGGGATTCATGAGTTACAAGCTTAAATAGAGTGGTAAAGGTAGGACTCATTGTGGAGGTAACATCTGAACAAAAACTTGAATGTAAGAGAAAAAGTTATGTAGATCTTTGGTGTAAAAATGTTAGGCAGAACACTGCTTCGAAAGGTCATGAGATAGGAGTGTGTCTGGCCTGTTTAATCAACATGAAAGAAGCTAGCAAGATAAGAATGGAATGTTTAGGAAGAGAAGACTGAAGTGATCGCATGGAGCCTTATTGGTTAGGCTGGTAAATTTGTTCTATAAATAGCCAGATAGTAAACATGTTAGACTTTGTGGGTCTTGTAATCTGTGTCACAGCTACGCAATACTACCTTTGTAGTACAAAGGCAGCCATAGATAGTATTTAAACAAACACATTTAGGTGTGTTCCAATTGGCTATATTCTAGTATTTATACACTCTAAACTTTAAATTTCATATAATTTTCATGTGTCACAAAATATTCTTTTGATTTTTTTCCCCATCATTTAAAAATGTAAGAAACTAGACTGCATATATCTCTCAGGCATACCTAGCATGTGCAAGGCCCCAGTTTGAACCCCATCCACAAAATAAATGTATGTAAAAACAGGTGGCTGACTACATTTGCTTGATGGGACATAGTCTGCCATCTCCTCCTGGTAAGGGCTTCTAGAGCCCTTATAAGATCTTTGATTTTTACACTGAGTTTTAAGGAGCCATTACATGCACATACTCATAGTAGCACATATATACACCACATACACAAAAGCCATTGGCAGCTTTTAAAGCAGATACATGGAATAGTTTATGTTGTTAAATCACTGTATGGATATTTCTTCTGAGTAACAGACTTAAAGGCAGACTGTTATAGCTAGGTTTGCTGGTGGGACTCTGCAGTTCTCTTAATCATTGTAATTTCCCCCAATGAGGCAATAAGCAAGATGCAACTGAGATGGTTGAAGTTGAAGTTACTGGGAAAAGATGTATGAAATCATTTTCTGGTCTAAGGAAATATGGTGTGAATAGCAGATAGCAGTAAACATACCCTTTACACACAAAGCACTAAATTTCAAGTACTTTTTGCTTGTTGTTTTTGTTACTGTTATTATTGCTGGTTTGCAATAGTGGGCATCAAACCCAGGGCCTCAGGCATGCTGGGCAAGTGCTCTGCCACCAAGTTGTACCTCCAGCCCTGGATGGCCTTCTTAAATGTGATTGTTTTGTTTTGTTCTATTTTTGAGACAGTCACCCTGTAGCCCTAGCTGGTATGAAACTGTCTATGTATACTAGGCTGGCCTCAATCTCTGTTCTGCCTCCCAAGTGCTGGGATTAAAGGTATGCACCACCACATCCGGCTTGCTATTCATTTTTTAAGGTGGAAGAAAAAGCCTGTTTGAATTGCTGCTAATTGCATATAAATTATTATTTCTTTCCTATATTTTCCAAGTCTATCCATCTATATATAGATTATTTTTATTTTAAAAACCATACTTTAGCCAGGCACGGTGGCACATGCCTTTAATCCCAGCACTCAGGAGGCAGAGGCAGGCGGATGTCTGTGAGTTCAAGGACAGCCTGGTCTACATAGTGAGTTCCAGGCCAGCTGGGGTACAGGGAGACCCTGTCTTAAAAAGACCAAAAAAAAAAAGAAAAGAAAAAGCTGGGTTAGGTGGTACATGCCTTTAATCCCAGCACTTGGGAGGCAGAGGAAGGCAGATCTCTGAGTTCCAGGCCAGCTGGAACTACAGGGAAACCCTGTCTCAAAAAGACCAAAAAAAACCCCATATTTTATGTACAGTGATATAATTTGCATATTAAGTAACACTGTGATAGAATTATTTTATATTTTTTAAACAGATTTTTTTAATGTTTATCATGTTTACTGCTGCTCTAAAGAAAATGGAACCAACCTAGTTGGCCATCAACAGGTAAATAAATAACGAAAATCTAGTGCATATATAGAATGAAATATTATTCCACTCTTAAGAAAAAGGCTGGGCATAGTGGCCCAGCCCTTTAATCCCAGCACTTGGGAGGCAGAGGCAGATGGATCTCTGTGAAGTTCAAGGCCAGCCTGATCTACATATCGAG